GAGTGTGAGCACCCATCCAATTCTTTATGTAGCACTACGTTAGCAGAGAAGCACTGCGCATATAGCACTATGTTAAACTAATCCCTCCAGTGTGAGTAGACCATCTACAACCTGTAAGACAGATATTAATCGGGGACAGATAGTGAGACATTCATTTCCATTTCAAATACTTTAAGAAGCTTTCTCAGAGCCAACTAGCTTCCTGGAGTAACTAAAAAAATAGTAATTACTATAATTAAAGGGCTTGAGGAATGCATTTGTTAAGAGCGAGACACACAGATTTCTAGTTGCTGAATATCTGTGAAGTGCATATTTTGCAGAGTCTCTTTTGGAGCTCTTTAGAAGAGCCCAATGAATTCCTGTTGCCCCGGTCTACACATCTTCCTGGGCACAAAGACCTTTATGTTAATGGGACTGCAAAAACCCACCCACACAAGCTCCACTAGAACCATTTTACAGAATGCGCCAGCAAACCAAAAGCATAAGATTAACACTATTCTATCTATAGTGTTAATCTATCTCTATCCATAGAATTTAGACCTTTTAAGATGTCCCAGCCTCAGAAGTCAGGTTCCTTATGGCATGCACAACATGGAACCAAAAGACCACCGAGCACCAGCCATTACTGAAAACAATGTATTTCAGTGATACTGGCATGACTAAAATGTAATTGCTGATCACTGCCAATTAGCTAGAATAATCCTGTTAGCAATAGCTCAACTGTTCAATTATAAATCTCTTCAACGCTAATTGTATTTGAAGTTCTTTCTAACACTAACTCCTTTTGTATCATGATGAAAGCCTGTGAAAACGCTCATCAATTAAACAGCTGATATAACAAACAATCCCCTTTTAACCCTTTACAACCTCACTGCTATAAAAAGAGCACTGGATATTAATCATCATATATTGACCAAGGTCATGCATCATTTTATTGTTTTACGGTAAACATTCTTTTGCCATGGCAAGATGCACATCTTAAACAATGCCAAGTCTTACTGACAGTTGTCAGCATAAAGCCATCTGAGAAAGTAGGAAAACAAAACCTTTGTTGTGATTCTTTGTCAAGCATATAACTTAAATCGACGTGCACACCCATCTGTTAAAATGAAACTATGCTCACTTCTTCTTTCTTATTGCTATTTAATTTGTACAAGAGCAGCATGTTGGCAAGAAACGCTCAGCTGAATCCCAGCAGAATAGACTGCACGTTCAAAATCACTGCGCTGCTTCAGTAAGCTTTGGGTGATCTCTGGGTGACCAAATCGGAATGGACAACACGGGGTTTTCATTAAATAAATTTATTTGTTAAAATAATTTAACTCCAAATACAACTGCTGAGTTTGCATTGAGTTCTATGTACAATTCTTGTTTTATTTGAAACATCAAGGTTTTAACAACTGACATTGTTACAAAACAAACTGTTGCCCCATTTTTTAAGTTGCCAGTTGTATTAGAGCTCAACAGTTATCTGTGAAATACATTAATTCACCTCTGGGAAACTCCAAATCAACAGCGTTAAGCCTGGTTCCAGCACCCACTTCAGTCTTTCTTCAAACCCTGATCAAGAATCAACAGATGCACAACAATGCAGATAAAAGCCTCCTGCAGTTGTCAAACATTGGCTTTTGTTGCGGAGTTTCACAATTAAAGCCTAACCAGTGCTTTGACGGCACACTGGCAAAAATAAAAATAAAAATCAAAGTAAAAAACAAACATGCACAAAACCCCCCAACCAAATGGCTGACATCTTTAGGCAACATTCTATACAGGAAAGCAAATACCAGTAGTTTTCCCACAGAAAAGTAATGGCAACTGTAGCACTGGGGTTAGGGAGAGGCTAGAACCAGAACAGAAAAAGTCACCAAGTCCTTTTGATGCTCTGAAGGGGCAGAGGGAGAACAAAAACAACAGTAAAAAAAGCAACGATGTGTAATACTCTTGATTTGATTCCGTTTGTTTGGACCAGTTCTTGTGTGCACTTTTAAGGGAAAGAGGAAACAGTTGCTATCACTATCATAGCTTAAAAGAATAAAAGTTGCAACATTAAAAAAAAAAGCACAATAAAAAAAAAAAGAGAAATGCTGTTTTTGTAGAAAAGGACAAAGCTCTACAAGAACAGCCAAAGGAAAAAGTGGGTCTTTGGAACAAATCATAATCTTTTAAGGCATGTTATAAGAAATTTTCAAAGACTGTAATTGGTAATCCTTTCAGGGTACAAATTAAACAACAAGCATGAGTCCCACGGGGCAGCCACAGAAGTGCTGTGTGGCTCACTCACCTACCTTCCTGCTACCCCTGGATTTTGGAAAAAATCTCTGTCAAGTGCAACTGTCATTGATTCAAGCTCCACTATCTTCACGTTAGTGGAAATACAAATAGTGCATAACTACTTCCTCAGAATTATATGAAAAAAAAACAACACTTATGCTCCCCCCCTTCTCACCCTCCGCCCTGCAGTATTGCGTGACAGCATACACAATTTCAGAAATTGTGAAAGTGTAATGTAAAAATAAGACCAGGGTGTATTTTCATTAGTATCTTCTGTTAGGAATTTCACTGTGCAATTTTTCTTCTATTAGAAGCTCATCTGTTTATCTGTTTTATATTATCAACTCCATGTTAGGCCATTCATATTGTACTTCATGCCATTTTCTTGGCCGATGAACAATCCATGAGGTAAGATTTTAACACCTCTGTAAATAATGTTGCATAACATGCACTTCTAAGTTTTATGGGGCTTGTAATTCTTTTTTGAGTGCTTATGCAGTGGATCTCACACTGAAAAGCTATTTTACAGATAGGCTGTGCTGCTCAATAACTGGATGTCTGAAAAATTACAGTATCACCAATTCAGTATCTGAAACCTTGCTTAAGCATGGTGGCTGAAACGGGCGGATGGGGGGGAAGAGAACATTCATACCATCTAGTTTAGGCATAGAAGTGACTCAGAGGACCGAAGATAAAAGCCTAAGCTTTGCTATATAGTCAATGGAAAGAGGTAGGTGCCTCTAGGAGGGCAATTCAGAGCACCCAAAGTGGGCATTCAGATGCCAGAAATAAACGGTGTGAATATCTCAAGGAGAACAAAGTACAGTAACAAAAGTTCCAAAAGGTAGATGGGAAGAAGGGCTGTATTAACGTTCGAGTAAGGCATGATGTTTTGTGACATCTAATGCCCTTCGATCCATTGGTTCTAGAAAGGTTTTGAAAAATTAAGGGCAGAGATGGTCCGTTCTCTTTGATTAATATGATTTCCTTTGCTTACCATCCACTGAACTACAATTTAAACGTTAAGAATGTATATGAAAATCTGCTAAGTGTGCTGTACAAAGTTTCCTTTGTAGAAGATGAGAGCATTTTTAGGCAGTTCTGCAGATGAAGGCAAAACTCTCGAACCTAACTCCAATTACAGCATTTCTAAGGGTCATATACGCACACACATACACACTCAACACACACACACGGCCCAGCACCCCTGTTTTCACTCATTTAAACACAAGGAACTACACTGTTACTGCACAAGATTGAAAAACTAATGAACGCATGGTGTTATTTAGACCACAGGCTCAGTGACTCTGTATTTTTATGGCCAATTTTACCTATAAGAGATCCAGCTCAAGACAATCTCTCCAGCAAGTAAAATCTAAACATTGTGATTGAAAACTTCTCTATACTTTGATTGTAAGACTTCAGAATAGGTATTTTTGTGCCATTAGTCATGCAAATGATAAATACTTCACTGCTATGAAACTAGCAAGCCAGAGCTCGAGCATCCTTTCAAAATAAAATATTTGCTCCCACCATTTAACACTCAAATAATTGGGGCAATCCTTGAATAGTGTGTCTCAGGCAATTAAAGAGCCATTTCCACACTCACTTAAGGAATCATAACTGTAACTATTTCAGCTCTGAACCGAATCATTTTACATGGTTATCCAATTTAAGATTTCGTCATTAAAGCTATGAAATAGCGAACTTGATTTTCAAAGGTTAGTTAGGGATCCCACCAGAGAACGTAGCCCTTAAAGGCAAGAAAAAACTGTTGTCTTCAACAAACTTAAAAATGCAGGATGTTCGTACTGTCCCATGAGGTTTCTGCAGAAGGGAACATATGGATGCAACATGGCTTAATTTTCCTTACAAGATGGTACTAGTTAATCTATTAAAGTGTTCCTTGTTAGTAAGGCTCAGCAATTTTTTCATCACAGTTGCTTCCTCCTGGTTCAGTAAAGTGATAAATAAAGATGCTTCCTGCTTTGTAAACAGAGGGTTTGTTTGGCTTTTTGCAGACCAAAACCTGAAGTGATCCTCCATTTTTGAGCAGCAAAACGAAAGATTTAAAACATTCCAATGCCATACTGTTTCTTCACCTGTCACCTGTTTGCAGATCTTGCCTCTCGCTTCACTCGCTGATGCAATGTACTCTATTTCAAGATGTGGGATAAAGTGTAGAAATAATAGCATCAATTTTGAAAAAAATCCAAACAATATAGGTCTCTGGTAACCTCTTCCTCTAACACTGTCAAAAGTAGTTCAGGTGAAATCAACACAGTTGAACAAACTTGGCCACAAGTGATAGCGCACGTCCCAAAGCACAGCAATCAGACACTCAAAGACTTAGCTCTCCTTTTGCATTTATGCTAGTTGCAAATGGTCTTCAAGGACATTCTCTTCACTGCTCTAGTTTCCCATCTCCAAGGCTTTCCAACTTCTTTGCCAAAAGTTGCTGTTGTTGCTGTTGGACATGATAACACGCACGCTCAAATGGAACGACCCTGTAGATCGACTGGCTATGCCATAACATTGCAGGTGCTCAAAGGGAAAAACGGGTGAGATGTGGTCATTGAACCCAATTATATTCAGAGTCAGTGATTGACTTTCAATGCTCAGCTCTGAGTTAATGTTGCTACTTCACTACAGATGTATTTCAAGTGACCCACAAACCAGGAAGTGAAGTAGACAGTTTTACCACCTTACAAAATTTCTTCAAATTTAAGTCCAGGTTAGGTCATTTTTAATGCTATTGTATATTACATGCAGAACAGCATGGATCATCTTTGTCTGGCTGTGCTGCATAGTTCATTTGTCTAACAATTTCTGCGAAGAGCTCATCCACCATTGTTTTACTTTTAGCAGAGGTCTCCATAAAAGGGCAGCCCCACTCTTCAGCTAAGGCTCTGCCTTCATTCGATGACACTTCTCTCTCACTTTCCAGGTCCACTTTATTACCAACCAGAATTACGGGCACCTTCTCATACCTGCAGTTAAAAAAAAAACAAAAACAAAAAATCCACAGTGATAGTTACATTTCAGAGAAGAATATATTCAAATGTGTAAGCATCTATTTGCAAACAGTACCCAACACGAAAGACATTTGGGCAACAAAATTTTTACACTGAAGAAAATGCTTTACATATCCTCCATTCTAGTGATTTATTGCATGTCTTTTCTCCCAGAGTTTTCTTGAAGTTTAGGTGAAGTTTGCCTTCCACCATGAAACCTGCCTGGAGTGCTTCTGCACTACAAAAACAGGTACTATAATCATATTTTCCATGCTGTTCATCTCAGTTAGGGTGTAAGAACAAGACTGAAGTTCAAGTCTTTCTCCAACATTACATCCTCCTTCTCCGTGAACAGGCAGCATACTGCATTTCTTGCTTGCAATAAGGGAGATGTATCATTCTCCCTTTCAAAGGTACATCTACCATTGGCTAATATATACACAACTCGCAGATGAGCAATAAATGAGAGAAAATGAAATTCATTTGAAATTTCAGGCAGCCCATTTCAAGTACTTTCTACACACATAAATAGCGATATAGAAAAACATGCATTAGCTAATACAGAAGATACAACTTTTTCTTGCAGTATTCATATTGTTATGTCAGTTATACATGCTGAAAAGAAAAAGAAATACCAGGCAATACTGCCACAGTTCCAAGGAGTTTATTACTTTGCACCTCCCTGCTAGGGGATCCTTGCCTTTTCCTTCTAATTAAAATGCCTGTTTTTTACTATTTTTTCTCCTCCATCCTCACGTGCATAAAACCCTTCTTTAGACTTGGAGCTAAGCAAATGTTTAGTCAGGTTTTAAATTTACATATTTGACATAACAGAGAAGACAACACTGGGCTGATTTCCAAAACGCTCTCAACACTGGTTTTCTCAAAAAAGCAACAAGGACTGAGAGAAAAACTGATTACAGTTCTTAACATTTAAACCAAATTACGATCCAAGAGAAACAAGATGGCTCTCTCTTAATACAAACCCAACTTTCTACTTTGTGTTAGCTTAGTAGCACTCAAATCAGTCAAAGAATTTGAGCAAGACCAAGCTGTGGACAAACAACACTCTTCGCTACTACCTGCAGCAGTTTATGATGTTACATATGCCACCTATATATCAGCTATTTACCTCTTTCTTCCTGCTTCCCAGGCAGAGCAGCAGAATGGAGGTGGTGCAGGTACCCCTGCAGCTTGTGCTAACCTACCAGAGATGAGGGAATTAAGCTGTCAAGGCTCTGCATGGAAACAGAACCTCTGTGCTCCTGTTGACTCCATCACGAGGCTTGTGGGCTCCAAGTCAAAGGGTATGAGGACAGTGACTTCTCACACCACTCAGTTTCTAAAATTGATCCAAGCATGTCATAAGATGCAAGTTAAATTTTAAGCTTTCTTATGACTCTCTGCCAACTCCGAGGACAACACCCAAATTTAGAGTCTAAGGCCATGGTTGTTAACTGTAGAGGAATCCCCTCACTTTTTCACCATTTATCCTGTCCTCCATTTACCACCTGAACAGATGCAATCCATTTCTTACTCTCTAGATACACAGTATTCAGCACAATGATACCTTTGGAGCTTTTAGGAGAGCTAAGTTGCCATTAAGTAACAAAACACACATAAGCATCTTGGAAAATCTGTCCTCCTGCATTTAAACACGTGATAGCATTATCTTTAATTACACGGATGGTGTTCAACAATTGAGTATTTCTTAATCCTTATTATCTAGGTGCACAAACTTCATTTTATTCACTGTACAGTATTAAATCCTTCAGTGGAAGCAGGATCAGCCTCACTGGATGTCATGATATCTAAGGGCCCCAAAGTGCAAACTTTCTTCTATTTCTTCTAGATATTCTCTATTGTCTCAATTTTACAAGTGAGAAAAAGGAAGAAATTCAAAGCAGTCACTTGAGAATCATTCTGCAAAGTGGATGAGCCACAGTTAAAACACCACTACTTCTCATTCTGCGCAATCGCTCCGATTTACTGAGAAACATGAGGGAAAAAAAGCCCACACACTTGTTGCAGATTTACAGACAGCTCCACTAAAATATTAGAGTGCTCAAAAAGGTTTAAGAAGCCTAGAAAAGGTGGGCAACTAACTAAGGACTTGAGGCACTATTTGCTATGAGTACTCAGCATCTGAGAAGTGAAGGGATGGAGACAGAAATTTTGTACTGGAGGAGACAAAGATGAATTGATGAGCTGACAGGATAGATATAAAAAAAAAAATAATTGAATTTACTTGCACAGAATCATCTAGGAGCTACTACACAGAACAGACAGAATCACTTTTCTGTATTGGTTTTTCCTGCCTTTACAGCTTCTGTTTGCCTTGTTCACTGCCTACCTTCACTACTTCAAAAGAGATTGAAATCCTACAGTCAATAGTCTTACGTATCTTATAATCCACATTCATCCAATGACCACTTCATAACATTAAGTTGTGAAAAGGAAAAAGTTTCTGCAAAATCCTCATGCTGCCTTGCCAAATTCTTCCTCGAAGGGCAAAAATAAGGTTGGCTCTTGTAAAATGCATCCTTTATTACTTCATTTTTGAGTAGTCAAATTTACAAAGCAAATACATAAAGTACGCATAAATTCAGCGTGCCTTTTAAAATTTATTTGAATTCAAAACATATATATACACACACAATATGATTTTTCATACAGAATACAAAGAAAAGCCATTATTCATCATCAAGATGAATGCAGACTGGAATATCACAATATTCCTGTCTATACTAAGCAGAAGACTTGCTGCAGTATGGGTTTATTAGCTCCATTTCAGTACCAGTCCTGCCAAACCAGATGTCTGTGTGTTATATTCTCCATATAGCAAGTTGATGACAGACAGTGTTGGATAGTGCCACCTCAGACATAGCAGGCCCTAGCAGAACTTACGGGGTTCCACATCAGCCCCTGCTGACCTCCCTTCAGAGGCTCTATGGCCCCAGCTTTTGGTAACACCGCACAAACCCTAAAGCTTCCAGAGCTTCCTACCTCACTCCAGATCCTGGGAAAACCTATGTCTGCTGCTCCTCCTGCACCAGGAGGTCACAGAATCACAGGGGTTGGAAGGGACTTTGGAGATTATCTAGCTCAGTCCCACTATTAAAGCAGGATCCCTAGAGTAAGTTGGATGACCAGGCTGGTAAACGAGGGAAAGGCTGTTGATGTAGTCTGCCTAGACTTCAGCAAAGCCTTTGACACGGTCTCTCACAGTATTCTCCTGGGGAAACTGCTGCCTATTAGCCTAGACAGGTATACCCTTCTTTGGGTAAGAAACTGGCTAGAGAGCTGTGCCCAACAGGTAGTGGTTAATGGAGTTAAGTCCTGCTGGCAACCCATTACAAATTGTGTCCCCCAGGGGTCAGTACTGGAGCCCATCTTGTTTAATATCTTCACTGATGACCTAGATGAGGGGATTGAGTATACCCTCAGTAAGTTTGCAGAGGGCACCAAATTGAGAGGTGGTGTCGATCTGCCTGAGAGTAGGGAGGCCCTTCAGAGAGATCTAGATAAGCTGGATCGCTGGGCTGAGGTGAATGGGATGAGGTCCAACAAGGCCAAGTGCCGGGTCCTGCACTTTGGTTACAATAATCCCATGCAGTGCTACAGGCTTGGGGATGAGTGGCTGAATGACATGACAATGTGAAGAGGAAAGGGACCTGGGGGTGTTGGTTGATGTTCAGCTGAACATGAGCTGACAGTGTGCCCAGGTGGCTGAGAGGGCCAGTGGCAACCTGGCCCACATTAAAAATAGCGTGGCCAGCAGGAGCAGGGAGGTAATCATCCCCCTGTACTGGTGAGGCCGCACCTCAAGTACTCAGTTTTGGGCCTCTCATTAAAGAAAGACATTGAGGCCCTGGAGTATTTCCAGAGAAGGGCAACGAAACTGATGAGGAGACTGGAGGAGCTGAGATCGGTTAGTCTGGAGAAGAGGAGGCTCAGGGGAGACCTCACTGCACTCTACAACTTCCTGAAGGGAGGTGGTGGTGAGGAGGGGTTTGGCCTCTTCTTCCAGGCAACAAACAGTTGACCCGAGGAAATGGCTGCAAGTTGTATCAGAGGAGATTTAGGTTAGACATAAGGAAAAACCTATTCTCTCAGAGAGTGGTCAGGCACTGGAATGGCCTGCCAAGGGAGGTGGTGGAGTCACCGTCCCTGGCAGCGTCTGATGTGTCTGGATGAGGAGCTACAAGATATGGTATAGAGGCTCGTGGTAGCAATGGTAATGGGAGGATGGTTGGACTAGATCATCTAGTAGGTTCTTTCCAACTTCGTGATTCTATGATCTTTGTAGACCTTCACAGGACTATTTCTAGAACAAGTTCCCTGTCTTTCTGAATAGAGGCCAGAACTAGACACAGTACTGCAGATGTGGCCTCACCAGGGCAGAGTAGAGGGGGAGGATCATCTTCCTTGACCTGCTGGCCATGCTCTTTTTAATGCATCCCAAGATACCATTGGCCTTCTTGGCCACAAGGGCACATTGACAGTTCAAGACCAACCTGTTGCCAACCAGAACACCCAGGTCTCCTCTGTAGCGGGTCAGCCCCTAACGAGTATTGATGCATGCAGTTATTCCTCCCCAGGTGCAGGACCCTACCTTGCCCTTGCTGAACCTCATTAAGCTCCTCTCTGCCCAAATTGAGCGAAGGTACCACTTGCCATTCTCATTACTTTGCAATGCCTAGGTTTCGGCGTGCAACAACCAGGATGGTGTGCAGCCACATGGCCCGCAACAAGAAAGGGCTATTTGTCAAATGCAGCAGAACTACATGATTTTAATGAAATCTGAAAGGAAGAGGAACATCTCTTCCCCACAGGCTTTTCACCCTGTGGATTTTAGTGACCCAACATGAAAATCGCTTCTTTATGAAAGGAAAAAGAAAAAGCTGTTCTGCTTTGCTTTTTGGGTGTTGCAGGACCTTTCTGTGTAATTACAAAAATCAAGCCCAGGAATTCAC